ACGCAGGCTACTCGAGCATCGAAAGGAGAAGAAAAGGAAGAGTTGAAGTTGCTGTGCCACAGGTCGCGGTGCGTAGATTGTCTGCCAAGTGCACAGCCATTTTTGAACGAAGGAGGACCTCTCTGCGCCATGCGCCGCCATTTTTTATAGTTTATCAGACAAAAAATAAGATAGAAATAGAAACGAGAGAAAAGAGGAAAAGAAGAGATGCGCCAATGCTCTACTAGGGTTTACTTGGAGACGACTTTAAGAGTATTTTAAAGGCAATAAACACCTAAGGTAAGTGCCACACTCATTAATCTCCTTATGTCTTCCACATTTGTGAGTTTATGGTTAGGATTTTGATAGTAGAAGTGGGATTTCGGTCCATATAAGTTATGGTACTAAAATTATTGACTCAAATGAAGTTAATAGGGGTAGATTAGAGTATCTATACCTAAGTATAATGGGTTTTAGTGTCTTGAGTTGTTGGGCACCATTAATACCCAAAAATCTCATTTATTATGGGTGGTTGGAAGTTTGTGATGCTATTAATAGGGATTTGATGGCTCATCAATGTTATTGGGGGCTAAAGATAATTATTAAACCTAATGGTTAGGCTTCACCTATTGTAAAGTGAAGGTTGGGCAATTTAGAAATAGAGATTGAGGGTTCAAATGTTTGAGTTTGTTATGTTAGTGGAATTCAACTTGGTTGATTGTAGTTTTAGCTCTTGGTCATCTATTTGATTGGAATTTTAAGCTTGAAAGCTAGTTGATTGAGGGGTAAACCTTTAACCTCTCAAAGGTTTTAGGTAACTAGGGGAGAACTCTATTTTGAGTAGTTATATGTTAATTGGTTGTTGAATGTGAGTTTGTGAATGTTACATGCATAGGATTGATTGTTAAAATAAAAAATATATATAGTTTTATTGAGTGCATGGAAAAGCTATTTTTGACTTCAAAATGCAATATACAAAGTTAAGAGGGTTTTAACTATGAACATGTTTTTATCGTTGACGTATGAATGAGATGAGTGTAGAGGTATTTGTTTGTTAATGAGAAAGTGATGAGAATACACACTTGGGTAGTGCAAGATTGTGAGCCTAACATGATTGTTGTAATAGTAAGTATATGAAAGTGAAAA